GCTTCCTGCCTGTGGGGATCTGCAGGGTTTGGGGTTGTGGCCATGCTGTGAGGGAAGTGCTGGCCCCAGGTGCAGCACGTTGGGGTGGCAGGGTGCGGCCTGGGCTCACGGCACCCGGCCAGGCCCTGTGCCAGGCTCGGCTTGCTCCGGACCGAGCTGGCCCAGAGGGTTGTTCAGAGGTTGCCCGTGGGACAAAGATGGGCAAAGCCGTTTCCCAGGACACGCTTGTCCTCCGAAGCCAGCCCTTCCCCAGCTCTCTCACTTCTGGGTTCATTTCCCACCTCAGCCCCCCAGGGACAAACCCATTCCCCACATTTACCATCTCGCAGCGCGGAGCACGTTGCAGATCGCAGTGTGCTAGCAGGAAGGGGGCTTCCCACAAGACCCACCCGCAGTTGGGTTTTCAGGGGCACCCGTGTCTCCCCAACAGGCTGGACCCAGCCCTGGTGCGCCCCGGCCGCGTGGACCTGAAGCAGCACGTGGGCCACTGCTCCCGCTGGCAGCTCGCGCGCATGTTCCAGCGCTTCTACCCCCAGCAGCCCCCGGCTGCGGCCGAGCGGTTTGCCGAGCAGGCGCTGGCAGTCTCCGGGCAGATCAGCGCTGCCCAGGTGCAGGGCCACTTCATGCTCTACAAGACGGATCCCGAAGGAGCCATTTCCAACGTACGCTCCATCCTGCTGTGACCAGGGGCCAGCTTTTCTCTGCCACGCTCGGAGGACCGGGGCAAGGACGTGGCCGTCACGGGGACGCCGTGACGCTGCCCAGCCCGCTCAGGCCAGGTCTCTTCACCTCTATCCCACCAAGGCCTCGGCTTTTTAACGAAGCACGTGGGGAGTTGGAGCTGCCCGCCTCACGGCAGGGAGAGGGAATCGGCTCTTCCTGCTCCCCACACTGGGGTGCTACCGCAGCAGCCCTGCTCACCGTTCACGTGCCTCGTGCTGGGATTGCCGTGAGCTGCCAAGGCTCCTGGATGTGCATCCCCTTCCTTGCGGGACAGCCTGGGGGTGCCCCAAAAGGGCATTTCCCTGGGGCAGGACATCGGGGTGCTCAACTGCTAAAGAGCTGCTGGTCTTTAAAGGGACAAACGGTCTGCAGTGAATATTCTCTGGGAAGTGCACAACATGGCTCTTGGCTCTCTTTGCCTGCTAGTTGCCCCACTATCCAGCTGCTCTTCCAGAGCTGCAAATCCAGTGTTTCAGCAAAAAGCAGCAAAAAGCTGTCTCCCGGGAGACAGCTCGTTGTCCCTCAGGCTGGTGCCACAGCTCCTGCTCTGCTGGGCTGCGATGCCGAGTCGCAGATCCACTTGGGCAGCGTTCCTGCTGCAGGACACAACTGTCCTTCCAGCCAGAGGAGGAGATGTGGGTCCCTGGAGCTACTGCAGGCCTGTGTGTGGGGACAGAGGAGAGGCTTTGGCTGGGTACAGAATACCTTCCCAAGAGCTTGATGTTAATCCCAGTGCAAGCTGCTGCAGCCAGGCCGGCCCAGAGCAAGGTGCAGAAATCCCTGTTGGAGGGGATTGCTCTCCTTCCGGCAGGAAAGGCCCTGCGTGGCTGAAGGAGGGATTGGCCCTGCTGCTGGCAGTCTCGCAGCCTTTTCCCTGTCACAGGGCTTCATTCCTGCCAGGAACAAAAGTCCTGGATGGGCTGGTAGAGCCACAGGTGCCTGAAATGCAACTGAGAAACGGGCAGGTTCTGCGCCTGCTTCCCAACGCCATGGAGCCGGGGTCAGGGTGTCGGTGCTGACCCACAGAACAAGCCAGCCAGAGCCTCTCCCCTCCCCAGTCCCTGTTTCCGTGTCCTAAAATCAACTTCCCTGGAGTCAGTTGTGTTCTCTGCCCTGGCTCTGGGGACTGTGTCACCCTGGCGGGGCTGGTTCCAGGCCAAACCCCAACCAGTGGGTTGCTGCTCAGCCCTCCTGGCTCTGCCCCGCCGGGCCAAGGGCGAAGCTGAGGGTGCGAAGGGGCCCAGCAGGTGCCACCCGCCTGAATTTCAGCACAAACAGGTGCTGCTTTGGTGCAACCCCAGACTTGCACAAATGTTTCTGCAGGGGAAGGGTTGATCCTGTGGCCACGGGGTGGGGGGCATCTCTAGGGACTCAGGGTGCGTCTTGGAGCCGGAGGCTGCTGTTGGCATCTCGAACCCTGCGTTTGGCTGTCCCGCAGGGGCTGAGTGCTCAGCACCAGCCTCTTCCCTCAGAGCTGGGGGGCAAAACTGCCCAGCGAGTGACTGGTGAACGCCTCACAGCGGTCTGGGAGGATGGGGATTGGTGAGGGAAAGCCAGCGGGGCCCAGTGTCCCCCCCACCAGAGCACAGGCAACATCTCTGCTTGCTTTTAATAGTGTTAATGCTACAGGTGCCACTGGTGCCCGTCTGCCCTTGCCAGTTACACCCCACAGCAGCCCTGTGAGGCGGGTGGGTGACAGGGTGGGTGTCACACAGGCCAACACCAAGTGAGGAACCCAGGGCAGGGTGCGGGCTCCGTTCTTCCCCTCCGACCCAGAGGCTTGTTTTGTTCAGCCCAAATTCAATTCCACACGCTGTTGCAAAGTGTCCTCTGCTCCAGGCTGAGAGCAGCAAGTCAGAAAGGCGAGGGCCCCTTCTGAAATCCCAACTCCCAGGAAATAAACTTCCCTTCTAAATGTCTGGCATTTGATTGAAGTTACCCAAGTCCTCACTGCCATTTCCATGGCTGAATTCCCATGCTCCAAACACT